ACTAGCCCCTTGCCCCTGGCATTTTAATCACCTCTTATGACACTTATGGCTTATGGAGGAAGAATTCTGTTCCACTTGCTCATGGAGAACAGTTAAATATATATTTCTTGTAAATATACATGGAAAATTCAGTGGTTTGTATTACAGTTAATTTGGTTACAGTGTTGATAAAATTATGAAAAACAGAAAGACACAATACCATGAGTGGAACAGTACACAAATAACTCCACACTTAGAGACTGATATTTATGATGCTGTTTTGATTCGACTTGGACCATTCATTAGTCAGTCAGAGAAGCATTAAGGGAAGGGAGCAAGAATATATATGAGAGAAGGGGAGGGAAGTGGATGGGAATGGTAGAATTGCAGGAGGGAGAAGTAATAATGTAGAAGTAGTAGCAATAATTAGTGGTGGTAATAGTGCTGGTATTGGTAGAAGTGCAACAGTGATAGAGGAGGCAATAAGAAAGTAGAAGGGATAGTGAAAAAAGGGGGCATGGTGGAGTGTAAGTGAGGAAATAGTAGTAGTAGTAATAATACTAATAATAGTGAAGTGGTCTAAGGAGCAACAGAAGAGGGGGAATGCTGCAGGAGAGCTAATGTCACACAAGGACAGGACAAACTCCCTGCAGGACAAAATCCATAGGATAGAACCCATCTAGATAGAAGATAGGAAAGGCAAAAAATGTACAGCCTCTCCTCACTTAGCGATATGCTCGTTTGCCGACGACTCGGACTTATGACGGGCTCTCTGACCAAATATTTAAAAAATGCTAAAAATGTTATATATGGTGCATGGGTGACATTAAAGTAATATCGAAGATGGTTGACCCAAATTCACTACCATTATAGTATGCTCCTCGTTTAGTGACGAATTCGTTTACTGATGTGATCTTAGGAACGGAACTCCATTGTTAAGTGAGGAGAGGCTGTATAGAAATGGAGAAGAGGTAGGCAGAGGAGGAGATAAAGATCAGGTCATGTCGCTTGTCTTCTGAAGTTTGGAACATTTGACAATGTAATGAGCAAGGATGGCATCTACAGAGACAAAACCAGGACTAAGATTCATATTATGAATGTTACATTTAAGGGATGCTGCAACAAGACGGCATCTGTGAAGGCTAGAAGTAGGGTAGACAGCTTTTGGCAGAGGACCAGTTAATAGGGTGGTTGTGATCTCTAATGTGAAAGAAAAGAGCATTATTAGTGTTGGCAAGCCTGGCACTTCTTCTGTGCTTCTTAAGTCTGTCAGAAAGTGAGCAGCCAGTTTCTCCAAAGTATTGGAGAAGATGAGGAACAGGAAATGGAGTAGACTCTGGAAGCATTAGTGTTGGGAGGAGAGGTATGAACAAGATTACTATGAAGAAAGTTTGATGTCTAAAGAACAGAGAGAGTTATTAAGATTTGGGAGACGGAAATACTTTAGGGAAGGCAAAGGATAGAAGATATACCCAGGAGAAGAGAATTTGGAAGAGAAGAAAGTATGTTTAGCATGTGATGAGGCAGAGCTTATGAAACTGAGAGTTTAACCAAGGCAAGAGAATGAACTACAAAGAGTAGAAATTTCTGAATCAAGAAGCTGAGGGTCACAGATGGGGAGGGCTTTGAGAAAGAGAGAGACAAGAACACTTTCCTTGACAGATTTGCAGCAGATGAAGGCATTGTCACTGGTAGGCAGAATTTCCCAGTGGGATTATGACATTCCCCGTGTCCGACTAAACCTTTACAAAAATTCAATGTATGTCAAAGGCCCTAAAATCTGGAACACCCTACCTGAAAATTCTAAAACTGCAGACACATTCATCACCTTCAAAACTACCATCAGAAAACATCTTATCTCCCTGATACACCCTGTCAACTAATTACACGAATACCACCTGGTGGTTAACACTTACACTCACTCACCCATTTGACCATAAACAGAAATATCAATCTCAATCTCAAAATAATGAATCTTAACTAGTCATAAGTTGGCCTGTGATACTCCAATACTGAAACTATGTATAGTGCCAAAACAAAAGCATTCACATTGCTAAACTCACAAACTAGTATTTAGTCACTTAGCCATAATACCAACTTACCTCATAATTTTGTAATATTTTAAACTTAAGATTTAATTTAAGTCTGCCCGAAATGCCTAGCCATGCTAGGTGTTCTAGTGGTACACTCTGTAATTATTATTTTACTACATGTAAACCACACAATAACCAAATTCTGTAAACTCAGCATTTACGTAATCCTTATAGAGAATAAAACTTTGAATTGAATTGAATATCCAAGTGTTAGGTAGTAAGTAGTTGTGGAGATGTCCTCTGTACTAAGGTTCCATGGTGTTACTGTCCCTGACAAGTGTCATAATATCAATGGTATATAATAATAACAAGTTGAAGTATTAGACTTAATTCTTTGCCTTGTTATTGCTGATAATAAAATAATCATTTTAGTTCAAGAAAAGAAAAAAAAATCTCCTAACATTTTATAAGGTACATGTATATATACAGTATTTACAGCACATTTGTGTACTTAGTGGATATTGTATAAAAATGGCCAGCATAATATGTATGGAAAAAACTCAGTCTGTGAATAACAATTATTGAACTAAATTACCCATATAGATTTATCACTTGTTTGTGAAAACTACATAGTAATAATAATAATAGTGTATTTCCCCAAAGGTGTTGATTCATGGAATTATTTATTTCAATAATACACTTGTCATAAAATATTAATCACTGACTGCCATCATAAGCTTGTATGTTTTGCTTTCTTCATATACAGTGGACCCCCGCATAACGATCACCTCCGAATGCGACCAATTATGTAAGTGTATTTATGTAAGTGCATTTGTACGTGTATGTTTGGGGGTCTGAAATGGACTAATCTACTTCACAATATTCCTTATGGGAACAAATTCGGTCAGTACTGGCACCTGAACATACTTCTGGAGTGAAAAAATATCGTTAACCGGGGGTCCAGTGTATATCTTATTTCCTACCTTATTTGTAAACCATTCTAAACTGCAGTAGTGAAATAAATGTATGTAAATCTTAGGTAACACTAAGTATTTGTGTGTGAGTATTGATAAATAATATCTTACAAAAAATCCTATATTAACTACTGGGCAGTGATCAAACACTATGGTACACTACAGGGTAACAATTAAATATTGTATTACACTACAGGGTAACAATTAAATATTGTATTATGCTACAGAGTAACAATTAAATATTGTATTATACTACAGGGTAACAATTAACCCTTTCAGGGTCCGTCCCGTAGATCTACGGCTTTACGTTCAGGGTCCAAACCGTAGATCTACGTCATGAGCTCATCTCACTCTGATAAACTGTGAGTGGTACATTTGGGCCTAGATATGAGAGAATACATCTATGAGGTATGTGTGCACCACATAAAACAGATCCTGCAGCACACTGTGTATAATGAGAGAAAAAAACTGAAATCATGATTTTTCGATTAAAACAGCGACTTTGCAGTGTTTTTTCGTATGTTTTTTATAGTTGTATTTGCGATTTCTTGGTCTCATTTGATAGAATGGAAGACATATTACAGAAATAGAGATGATTTTGATTGGTTTTAGCACTGGAAATGGCTTGAAACTGAGCTCAAAGTAGCAGAAATGTTAAATTTTTGCCGATATTCAAGAGTAAACAAACGACCTCACACGTCTAATACACGTCAGCTGGTGGGTCTAATATGCATTCACAAATATGGTGATGATATTTATACAATTAATACAGTATTGCATAACAGTAAATCTTCTATTTTTTGGTGTGAATAAAAATTCATTATGTGAATAAAAAATCAAAATGGAATTTATTTGTAAAGCCTCAAAACGTAACTAATGAACAGAGGAAATGTTAGTTTAGTTCCAGGAATACCTACATTGTTTATTCTGGACCTTATTTTGAAATTGGAATATTTTGAACTTTGTGTTAAATTGGCCAAATTAACAATTTCCGATCACTTTAATTTGTAGTTGAAACAGTTGACTTGGTGATTTCTCGTGCTCAGTCGATAGAATAGAAGTAATACTAGTGAAATAGCTAAGAATTTGGTTGACTGGAATAATGTAATTGGCCTAAAATGGGAGTCAAAGTCGGCAAAATCGCCGATTCGAAAATATCGCTGACACATCAAAATTCGCGAGAGCATAATTTCGTCAATTTTCCATCAAATTTCGTACTTTTTGTTTTATTACCTTCACAAAAAGATTCTCTACCATTTCATAAGAAAAAATAACAAATTTTTTTTTTTGAAAATTCTTGGACACTGAGGCACCACTTCAGATTTGGGCCTTGGACCCTGAAGGGGTTAAATATTGTATTACACTACAGGGTAACAATTAAATATTGTATTACACTACAGGATAACAATTAAGTATTGTACTACACTAAAGGGTAACAATTAAATATTGTATTACAATACAGGATAACAATTAATTAAATATTGTATTACACTACAGTGTAATGCATTATTATTACAGGGTAACAATTAACTATTGTATTACACTACAGAGTATCAGTTAAATGCTGTATTTCACTACAGGTCAACAGTTATTGATTGCATTGATTCAATAACCTTCAAAATGAAGAGGTTGAACTTAAAATTCAATCTAATATTTAATTATTGGGGTGTTTCTGTCAGTAGGCCTATGGTTGTGATTACCCAGTAATTTTAGCCAAGTAGATAAGAACATAGATTAACTTAAACAATATCTGTTGTGACAACCCCCAGCTGATGCTGCTGCTGTTGCTGCTAATGAGATACCTTGGTTATTGGAGAGCAACTGCTTAATGTATACAGAATCACTCATGTTCTAGAATTACAAAGAATTACTGTAATTTCCTGACATTTAAACAGTGCTGCTTACAAGTATGCTTTTGATGTTTCTTTGTTTTTGTAGTTGCACAGGAATTTGCTGCACACAGCATTTTTTAATGTTAGAAATCTTACAGCATATCTGTTTTTTATCTTTGCAGTATCCGAAGGCGATGGGTCTCTGGACTCAAGTGGCGGTGTTGGTGTCCATGGTGCCTATGTCCAGTACGTAGACGCCTCGCCAGACCCTCTCTATTCTTCCACTAATGGACAGATGTAACTAACCACGCCCCAAGTATTATGCTTGTAACCCTGTTGTACCCCTGTTGTAACTATGGAAAACTTCAGCCACAATATTTTGTTTTCACTACATTAAACTTTTTTGTTGTTAAACAGGATAACTGCCATCATAATCTTAAGTCTAGTGAAAATTATTCATTATAATTATTTAAATACCTAATTTATAGTTATTCATACTGTATTATTTTCTCCATCCAAGTTTTATTTAATTAAGGAAAGTATGACACTTTACAAAAATAATTTCAACCTCAAATATCTTTAAATGCACCATTTGAAGCCAGTGTTATTTTTATAGATATTATGACTCCATCAGCAATGTGAATACTGTGCTGAACAATATTTGGACCACACATGTTAAGCAGTACAGTATGTATTGATCTTATCATTTGACTTGTAATACTGGTTAATTTGTCTTCAAAAAAAAAAAAAAAATGAGAATTGCTGTACTGTGCATGAAACCTTAAAATCTTTCTTAGAATAAATTTTTGATGGATCAAAATGAACTTATGAATGATGTCATGACAAATTTTACAAATCATAGTATAGTTAAGGAGGGCATTTGGTATAGGGCCATTATATTTGTGAGGAAGTTGAATTGAAATACAGAAGGTTCCCAGCTAATGAACTAATTGCATCCCTGAAAACTGTAATTTGAGTGTATTGAACTCTGAACCATTTCTCCATAGACACCTGTGTTATACCATAACTAAAATTGAGTTCTTGAGCAACAATATTCCATATCTAGATATATGTTGCAGTTTTTGAACTGCAGTATTGACATGTCAGTGATGGAGTGAGTGATGATGATGATGATAGTGTTTCTTCTTTTTTGGGTTACACTGTTTTGGTGGGAAATGGCCAATGTGTTAAAAAAAAAATAGTATACCTTGCATTCTATACCTTATCAATCCTAAGTACTACACAACAATTACTTTTGTTTTGGAAATTTAATGAAAACAATGAAATAGCCAGTAATGTCAGTAAGAAGATTTATAGTATAGTCGAAACTCAGAATTCACATGTTTTGTGATCTGTGTCATTCAGTTATAGAGTATAACAATTTTACTGAAGACCATTTTACAGATAGCTTCGATTATTCATGTTTTTTCTTAGTACCTGTTTTCATTTTATTTTGCACACGACCCTTAACACTGTATTCATAAATTCTAGCGGCTTCAAATCAAGCAGGAGAAAGCTGGTAGGCCCACATGTGAGAGAATGGGTCTGTGTGGTCAGTGTGCACCATATAAAAAAAAAATCCTGGAGCATGCAGTGCATAATGAGAAAAAAAAACTCCGACTTTTTTTTTAATTAAAATGCCGACTTTGTGGTCTATTTTCGTATAGTATTTATGGTTGTATTCTCGTTTTCTTGGTCTCATTTGATAGAATGGAAAACATATTATAGAAATAGAGGTGATTTTGATTGATTTTACTATAAAAAGAACCTGGAAATGGAGCTCAAAGTAGGGGAAATGTTTGATTTTTGCCGATGTTCAAAAGTAAACAAATGATGTCATTTTCCAATAAATGTCCAACTAGCCATTCTAATATGCAGTCATGAATAGGTTGATATTATTTATACAATTATTACAGTATTGCAGTAGTCTGCATAACAGTAAATCTTCTATTTTTTGTTTGAATAAAAATGCAAAATAGAAAGCAAGAATAATATCAGAGGGGCCTGGAGACGTGACTGATGAACAAAGAAAATGTTATTTTAGAGCCAGGAATGTCTGCATTGTTCATTCTGGACCTTATTTTGAAATTGTCATATTTTTTAATTTTCGTAAAATTGGCCAAATTGCAAATTTCTGACCACGTTATTGGGTAGTTGAAATCGGTAAATGGGCAGTTTCTTGTACTCAATCGATAGAAAAAATGGATTTACAAAAAAATAGTTATAAGTTTGGTCGACTGGAACAATGGAATTAGCCGAAAATAGGGCTCAAAGTGAGCGAAATCGCCGATTTGTAAATATCACCGAGGTCGCTAACTTCGTGAGAGCGTAATTCTGTCAGTTTTCCATCAAATTTCGTGTTTTTGGTGTCATTACAATCGGGAAAAAATTCTCTTATCATTTCATAAGAATTTTTTTTTTTTTTTTTTTTTTTTTTGAAATTTTGCGACACCAGGAGACACTTCAGGATTGGGGGTTGTGACAGTCAAGGGGTTAAATTGAAAATGAAACAGGATTTCATTTAAAACATTCTCATTCTTTTTTATGACTGTCAGAACTAAGCATGTTAGAGCAATATTTGAAGATATCTAGCCAAAAAACATGGGATTTTTGTGAAATGTAACTGTATACATAAATTCTAGGGATGCAGCTTCACTGTATTTACTTTAAATGCTGGTTGTCTCTTGCTCTCTGATATTGTAGTTATGTTTCATACTAATTTGCTATATTAAATGACTGATTAGCTCTCTAATTATTTTTTTTTAATTACACTGCCAAAGAGTTTCACAGATTTTTAAACCTTAATTTTTTTTAAACACGCTAGCCGTCTCCCACCAAAGCAGGGTGACCCAAAAAAGAAACACTTTCACCATCATTCAACACTTTCACCATCATGCTCACATAATCACTGCCTTTGCAGAGGTGTACAGATATGACAGTTTAGATGTCACTCCAAACAACCAGTAACCCAAACCCCTCCTTGAAAGTGCAGTCATTGTACACTGTACTTCCCATTGCCAGGACTCAAGTCTGGCTAACCAGACTTACTGTTAATGTTATGAAAATTTTCCATGGCCTAAGCCTGTTAAACCAGCCATGACTTAGTGAAGGCTGAAGCAGTATTTGCTGATCATTTCTTTTCATCATAGAAGCTCATGGCTTCCTGAACTTCTATGATGCTCAGAGGCATTTTCTGGTGATGCTGGTCATCTATCCACATCAAACATTTTTTACATTTCACTTATCAAACCAGTGTGCTTCTTGGAATTGATTGTCAAATGTATGGATATATAGCCTTTATTGTATTCCAAGATGGTATAGGGCTGTTAACATATTGCAGTATATGCTCATAGTTCTTAATAATTGTTGCAAAACTGGACTGATTTATGCCATACATGTGGTGATGTTAGTCAGACCTCTTTATTGTAACCAGTGGCACTTTGGTACTGTATAGCTTTTATGACAATGTGCAAGTCTGTTTTCTAAGTTTAAAGTTAAATCAAATCAGATAACACAGAGTTTAATGTGAGCAGTGGGAATGTAGCAGTGCAGTCACAATCGGCAGCAACACCGTTTTTCACTAATTTCCTCCCAAGCTATCATAAGTTGTCCTGTTTGGAAGTGTAGATCCAGGTTTGTAGGAAATGAATTGGTTTCAAAGATACCCTCTTTGTAAATGCGATTATTACAACTAGGAAGTTCCTAGTGAAAGTGGCGGACCTTCTGTATAGAAAATGGTTGTGTAAAATAATAGAGCATCATGTCAGCATATTGATATGCCTTGTATATGATGTTGATATGCACATTCTAAGTGTGTTTGATAGTGAAAGTATATACGTAATAAGCAAATAAGTCATTTTCTCTGCAAATACTTAATGACAGTCCTTAATTAAAAATGTTTCTTATATTCTTCAGCTTCTTTGTATATTTTATGTATAAATTCAGGTAAATGCATAAAATAAAGCAATATAATATTTATACTTTAAAAATACTAATTTTGTTATTATACAAATTACGCAATTTTAAATATTTGCTTTCAGAAATACTGTCTGTGTACTAAATGCCCCGATATCAGTGTTTGAATTTTTTTATTATACTCGTTTTTAATTACTGTACTTTGAAAAATTATATATACAGTAATTTTTATTATAATTATCTTCATAGGAAGCATAGGCTTATAAAAAGTTGTTGAAGGGTTAAATAGCATAAGGTGATACTCTCATATAATGCTGTTTACAAACATTACACACCAAATTTTAATGTATTATTTTGTTAAGATTGTTGCCTTAAGATTTTAAGAGTTTTTTCTGTTATTTTTCATGAGATCCTTTTGAAACTGGTCAGTTAGTGGCTATATCAAGGCCCTGTGTTGGTGTCTTTCAAAACAATTTACATTAGGTCTGGAAATTTGCCCATTGCCAAACACCCTCCTTAAATACTAAACCTTGCAAATTTTTTTCATGGAGTTTACTATAATTGTTTGTGACAAAAATGAATTAAAATTTCTGTAAGTCATGGAATTAAGAATACGAATAAGAAATGAAAATATTAACGTCAGTAAAAAAATAGATGGATCACATGATAAATATTTTTGGAGTGCCAGCATTGTGATTCTACTTATCACTGAAATATGTGTTACTTCATTACTGGCCTTTATTATTTTAAATATATTATTACACTTGTAGTAATTATTTTAGGAATTTGAGAAATATGCAATGTGATCCAAATGCTACAGCTCAGAGAATGAGTTGCACTCACAACACAGCAAGACTTGAAATTAAGGCCATGCTGGGAAGTCTGTGAAATTACGAATATGTTGATGGCAAATATCTATCCTGTTGAATTTGATTTACATCCTTGTTGTTGTTGTTGTTTGCATTTTTATGTTGTATGGTTTGCATCATTATTTTATGTTGACAATTATGGTAATTATTAATCAAAGCAGTTAACATCATTTTTAATTGCCTCTGTTGCAAGTTGATTCTTTCACTGGCTATTTAATTTATGTCTATACTTTCTTAAAATACCCCCATAAACAATTGCTCTAATTCCTAACTTGACCACTAAATGTAAAATTGATGAGGGCTGTGAAGTACTTATATCTGTCAATTAAGTGTGAGGCATGCTTTCATTACTGCTAGTCACATGTGTCATGGAACCAAAATATTATCAATTTATACTTGCATTAGGCTATTAAATACTATACTGTTTTCATGACTCTTTATATGCAAGTTAGAGGAATGTTATAATTTTTGACTGAAGTTATTGGTGGGAAGGAATGAGAATGAAATAAAAAA